CAAGGAGCTGCTGGGTCCTCACTGTGGCTTGGCACAGGGACATCAATGAGCCTGAACACCTCCTATTCCAGGCAGATTCTTTGGCCACTGGTTGCTGGCTGTCCAGACCAGGTCTGCAAAGTGACAAGCCAACATGGCAGTGGGGACAGAAGTCCCTTGCTGTAGAGAACCTACAGCCAGCACCAGCCATAACAAAGCTTGGCCATTTCCCACTGGGATGAACATCAGCACTGGAGCTGAGGAACTCGTTCAGTTCCTCCCTGGCACTGCAGCCTGCTTGATTATGAAGGGACAAACTCTACTTTTTTTGAGCTTGGCTCCTTTGCATATGTTTGCCTGAGGGCAGAAGTTGTATTTAAGGCTCACACTTCCCAAAACATGCATGTAGACAACCACACATCAGTTTCCTGGAAGTTGCTTAGGCTGCAAAATTTGAGTGCCCTTGTGCAGGCCAAAAGGAAGTGCTGTTTTCTCAAACCAACTCTGGCTTCTCTTCCCCTTTTCCACCTCCATAAGTGCGAAGTGTTGGCTTGATTGGAACCTTTTGACTCCATAAATCCTGTTGCATGGCCAGTATGCACTGTAGAGCAGTGCAACAAACACTCTTCTTTTTTGCATCCTTTGCCTTTAAGATAATTTTTAGCTTGTGATGTTTTCATGTTCCAGGCTGGAAAAAATCCTTTTTAATTCTTCTTGTTCCCTTTTGCCAGTTTGCTGCAATCTCCAGGTGGTTACGTTCCTTGTGAAGCCTCTCAAAATATCTGGAAGGAAAAGGGGAAGAGTTTGCTTTCAGTATATTCCCTGCTCCTTCCAGCTGCTACTTTAGGGGCTGTGGGAATGCCTTGAGGTTTCTCTAGGAGACATATGTGGAGCTAGAACCATAGGAAAACCATCACCAATTTGGCAATATCTGGATTTATTCACTGTACTTCTTGCATTGTTATTTCTGGTGGTTTTTCCAACTGGAAGTGCAGGGTAGTGCCACAGATACTTTCATTCTTCTTGACTCCTAAGCTAGAGAAACAACTGTCAGCATGTGGGAAAGGCAGGTGTTGATGAGTGATCTTTCAGAAGCATCTCTCTCCATTATTTCAGAGTCTTCTGAAGTCGGGCCCTCGGTCGTAGTTCACACAACTGTGACATTTGGGAGTGAGCACCTGGATTCAGACCCTGCAGAGGTGCAGCAGTTGATTCTCAGTCACCTGGAGAAGGTCATGCCATCCTTACCTCAACCAGCCAGCATCAAGTGTCAGAAATGGAGGTACTCACAGGTATGCTGTGGTAAGAGGTGTCAGCTGGCAGAAAGCTGCTGGGGCAGTGTCCTGCTGCAGCCTTGTGGTGGGTCACATCATCATGCAACCAGTGGTTTTCATCCTTGGGGAGTAAGAAGGGAGGGTGGTGAGAGCCTGGCCCAGGCTGCCCAGGGAAGCTGTGGCTGCCCCATCCCTGGCAGTGTTGAAGGGCAGGTTGGATGGGGCTTGGAGCAACCTGGGCTGGTGGGAGGTGTCCCTGCCCATGCAGGGGGTTGGATCTAGATGATCTTTAAGGTCCCTTCCAACCCAAACCAGTCTGGGATTCTATGCAGTAAGTCATGCAGCACTCCTGGTAGGCAGGGGCAGGAGCAGTGCACAGAAAGGAAGGAAATCCCACATACTTTGGTGTGATTTTCAGTGGTATTTAAAAATGTGACTCAATCTGCCTCTTCTGTGTCCAGAAGTATGTGGTATTATTAGCAAAATTCCCACCCTACCACAGAGCAGCAGAAGTCCTTGTGTTCAGATGGACTAATTGTCATGATTTGATTTGGCCTGGTCCAATGTAACAGCACGTTACACCAAAAACGTGTAAGTGAACTAATTCAGGGTAATAATGGCAAAATGTGTGTATTTTCAGACTTCTTTTAAAAATCCAAGGGAATTGTTGGCAATTTCCTAAAGTATTGGAGTGGATTTATGTGTTTATGGAGAGGCTCTTAAGTTAAATTACGTTGGTGAAATTGAACATGGAAGTTGATGCAAAATATGTACTTAGAGCAGTCCCCTAAAATTGTTGCTGGTGTGAAGTCTGGAAAAGTTACTGTAGGTGACTGTTGTGAGGTCTGCTCACACCTCTTGATCTGCATCCAATTCAGGTCTCTTTAGCACAAAGATAATTTTTGGCAAGTTACTAGTTTGGCAGTTGGGAGTTAGCAAATCACTCCTCAGGGCTTCATATTCCTTCTTGGTTGTTGTATAAAAATGATCTCAATGTAGGTTTTGATGTTTTAGGTGACTCTTACAAAAATCACTGTAGTTTTTATATGTTCAAGGGTTTTTTTCACCAGTGTCTCTGTAGAGTTGTCCCTGTTAAGGCATCCTGCTCTGGTGGTGACTTCTGGTCTTCTGCATTATCTGTTGCCTTGCTGCTTCAAACTTGTTGTGAGCACCAGAGCTGCAGGTGACAGGGAGGACAAGAGTTGGATCTATCTCTAACAGACAGACACTTGGCTGAGCAGCTCTGGGAAGGGCTCCCAAAACTAAGTAAGAGCTATTTTTTAAACAGAATGAATACACCCAAGGTACTGTTACTGTCACAGGGCTGTGTCACCAAGTTTGGTAAATTCAGCTCCTTTGTGTGCAAGGAAAGGGCTTAATCTGCCTTTTCCTTGCACTGCTTATGCTTTTAGCTTGGTGTCCAAAGCATGTGCATCATATATGACCCATTCTGGCTTATTTCACTGTGAAAACATGGATAAAAGAAAATAAGAGTGGCAGTTAATGTCTTACTACTGAATTAAAAAAAAAAAAAAAAAAGAAGTCAGTTGCCTTCTACTGAACAACTGCATTTTGAACCCTGGCAAAGTTATAACTCATCTTTTGGTAGTAACTGGAACAGTGACCTTAGGAATGAACTCTTTATTATCTCTGATCATCTCAAAATTGTCTTCCTAAGTCCTTTAGGTCTTGTTTCTGCTGGTTAAAAGTCACAGTCAGACCCCTCCCTGCTGGGTGATGCTCTGTTGTCTTCTCAAACCACTGCACAATGTGCAGCTCTTCCTGCTTCACCCCCTGCCTCCATGGCCTGCTGGCAGCCACGTTGCTGTGAACCCACACTACTGACTCCAGCAGCTGCTCCCGCTCCCAGGTTGTGTCACAGGAGGAATGCTCACCAGACTTTAATTCAGGGGATGAATGTCAGTGTCTCTTGGGCTGCAAATAAGTGAGCCTGCGTTAGACCTTTTATCTCCATAAAGAGATCTGGCTTGCCACCCTATTATACAATCACTGCCTAAAAGATCTGGGGCAGAGCTCCCTCTTCCAGCTCTCCTTATTTTCAGCTGTCATAAGCTGTTGCCACAGAAGCAAAGGGAACTGATAAGATGGGTGCATCTTTCCCCTGACTCTTTCAGATGGGCTTGATCCTCCTTGTTAATTAAATCCGGCTGTAACATCCTTCATGTGGCCAAACACAGTCCTGGGATTAAAATGCAGACATGACAATTATCCATGGCGGGTGAGGGATTAGGGCTTCCAAACTTCTCCTGACACTACTTAGCAGCACAGCTGCAACTCTGGATCCTCTGCTTTAACTACCATGAGACACTATTGGCATTCGCAGCCAACAGGTTCCCAACCCGTTGTGTCCACTTGACAGGGGCACTTCAGCAGCATAAGGGAGACTGGGAAAATGCAGTCATAGAAGTTGGACCTCTTCAGAGGGGGTCTCAGAAGGGACCTCCTCAGGTCTCTAGTCCAACCTGTTGCACAAAGCACAACTAAGAAGAGTGTGGCCGTTTGGTTGAGGGAGGTTCTCCTCTCCCTCCATTCTGCCCTGATGAGGCCACTTCTGGAATATTGCATCCAGTTCTGGGCTCCGCAGGTCATGAAGGACAAGGAGCTACTGGAGAGAGCCCAGGGCAGGGCCAGAAAGATGCTGAGGGGACTGGAGCACCTGCCCTGTGAGGAAATGCTGGGAGAGCTGGGGCTGGAGACTGAGGGGGGATCTCATCAACATTATCAATATCTGCAGGGAGTGTCAGGAGGATGGGACCAGTCTCTTGCCAGCAGTGCCCAGTGGCAGGACAAGGGGCAATGGGCACAAGCTGGAGCACAGGAGGTTCAAGTTAAACATAAGGAAAAACATATTTAGTGTGAGGGTGACAGAGCCCTGGGACAGGCTGCCCAGAGAGGCTGTGGAGGCTCCTTCTTTAGAGACATTCCTGACCTGTCTAGATGTGTTCCTGTGGGATCTGTTGTAGGTAACCCTGCTCTAGCACAGATTTGGACTAGATGATCTTCATAGGTCCCTTCCAACCCCCACTCTGTGACTCTCTGTGACTCTGTGACTAGATGACCTCCACCATGGCTTTGTCTAGCTGAGTCTTGAAGTCTTCAAGGATGAAGATCCTAGATAGCTGAGGGTAGTTTGGAATTTATGTTGGACAACACCCTCAACAGAACTTGAAGGAGGGGGAGTAATCACCATCCTTTCCCCAGTCACTATATCTTAGAGGGAGAGCCTCTGCTGCCCTGAGCACAGTCATGCCACACAGGTGGAAGGATGCTGGCTGAGATGTTTGGTCCAGCCAGCAGCAAGTGAGCCCTGTTCAATCAGGAAGGAAGTACACTCAACAAGCCTTTTTCTGCTAAAACTTTCTTCATTGTTGATGCTCAGTGACCTTGATCTGTAAGAAAAATTCAGGAATAAATTAAGTACTGACCTAAAATGAGTCTGAGAAAGACCATCTCTGTCTGGATCTACCATACATGGGTGGACTCTGCTAAGTTAGATAAGCGAGGATGGGTTGCAGCAGGCAACAAATTAATTTCAGATAATTACCTGCCTTAAAGAGATGCCACCATGCTGGTAACACAAAATGCAGCCAGTAACATAAATGTGGGTGTTCCGCTGCTGATCCATACTTGGAAAAGGCAGCAAATGGCATGATAGCCTGGTGTTTGTCATGAGGTACAATATATAAAAAGTCATCTTCTCCCCATGAGTTCTGGGTAGCTCCAGGCTAATAACAGGTGCTGGCCGGAGCAGGGTCCCTTCACTTCCTGAAATGTTACAGAGAAGTGCTCAAGATCTGCCACTCCACAGGCAGAAGTTTAATTGAGGGTATAGTGCCAGGGAGATGGTATTTTAAATTAATATAATGCACACATGGAGAACGACATTCAATATTTATCAAAGCAACCTTATTCAGAGCCAGTCCCATGCTGCTTCCAAAGAAAGTGTTGATTGTATCTCTGTTAGTGTCTGAAAAGTGCTGTGCTACTCAGATGGGGCAGGAGACCAGCGTGGCAGAGCTGGAGACAGGGTGGGATGTCCCAAGGCATTGCATTGTGAAGTATGGGCAGCTCATCCTGACACTTGTCACTCTGAAGCTCACCTCAGCTCCCATCCAGGGAGGTCACCTGGCCACCCCACTCATGTTGGAGGCTCTCTGGGGGGTTTTTGCAAGCCCACCTTGGCTGATGTGGCATCATGTATCTTCATACTTTCTGGCTTTGAGATCTGCCATGCCTCATCTGTCTAGGGCCAGGCAGCTATTTCTGCTGAGAATAAGACAGGATAGGGCTGCAAAGTTTCTAAATTTCCACACAGATGAAAGCTTTATTCTAGTTCTTGAACTCCAGAAGATAAATATTTCACTCTGGTACTTCAGCCATTAATGCTTGGTCCTACAACCTGGAATAGTAGGGGTGCTTGGTCTGCAGGTGAATTTCTCAGGAATATGGACCCTCTGGCATCAAATTCGGGTAAATAATTTTTTTTCCCACCTCCCCATGTGCTTTTCTTTTTCAGGTTACAAAAGCTGTTCCCAATTGTCAGGGACATATGATTCTTCATACTCAACCTCTTCTGATTTGTGGGGGTGATGGATTTACTCATTCCAACTTCGATGGCTGCATAGATTCTGCTGTGAGTCTTGCAGAAGCTGTGAAGTCTCATTTACAGCAATTTTAAATCCAGCTGCTAAACTTGGTCTAGATTTAGGATGGGTTTTACTATGATGGATTGAAATCTAGTTTGTTGTGAACATCACTATCCTCTATGTAGCAAAAAATAAATAAAGGAAGGTCTATTGGTGTGCTGTAATTATTATTGGGATGGAATTGAATTTTCCAGTGAGTTGTTACTTTGCTTGAAGTAAATTTTTTCTGGCTCTAATCAGATGCACTGAGCTCCAGCCATCTTGCCAGGTCTCCTGATATTTTACAGCCCATGAAAATGATGTCAAGGAGAGGAGGCTGCCTTGAAGCAGCACAAAAACCCAAGGAGCTGCAGAGTTTACTCCTCTGAGTATTTGGAGCCCTGGGAGTGGCAAAAAGAAAATGCACAATTGATCATGCAAACATGTGGTCACCTCTTCTGGTGCAGATCAGCCCTGGTCATATTTGTTGTACTTACCCATAAGGAATCAGTGGTGAGGCAGACCTTGCTATTCTTCTCAAGATGGCCTGTCCAACTGTTTTGGCTCAAGGTCTAACCCTGACAACTTTTAAGTGAGGGATAGTGGTTTTCTGCCAACCAGCTTTTTAAGGTCACAGATTTCTGGAGCCCTGCTTGGCAGGTTGATGGAAGAATTCACTTCAACATTGATTGTGTCACTGGCAGTGATGTGCCACTGAAGCATAGTGCCTGTCCTGGGTGTGGTCTCTGCAGCGCAAGCCCAGCTGTGCTTATAGAAGAAAGACTGGAGAGAAGTTGCAAGAGAAGGTGTGCAGATGTTCAGAGGGCTGGAGCAGCTCTGCTCTGGAGCCAGGCTGGGAGAGTTGGGGTGTTCAGCCTGGAGAAGAGAAGGCTCCAGGGAGACCTTAGAGCCCCTTCCAGTGCCTGAAGGGGCTCCAGGAAAGCTGGGGAGGGACTTGGGACAAGGGCAGGGAGGGGTGGGATGAGGGGGAAGGGATGAAAACTGGAACAGGGTGAGAGCCTGGCCCAGGTTGCCCAGAGAAGCTGTGGCTGCCCCATCCCTGGCAGTGTTGAAGGGCAGGTTGGATGGGGCTTGGCGCAGCCTGGGCTGGTGGGAGGTGTCCCTGCCCATGGCAGAGGGTAGAACTAGAAAGTCTTTAAGGTTCCTCCCAACCCAAACCAGTCTGGGATTCTATCATTATATGTTCCTCAGAGCAATAGTGCTTCTATCTCAAAGTCATCTTGGGCATGGGCATTGACATCTAGGCTGTACCATGAGCTTAACACCTTAAAGTGGCCTGGCCAGGACAGTGGGTGCTCTTCAAAGAGTGCAGGTTTTGCAGGGTTAGAGGGTCACTTGCTCTCTGCTGGCCTGGTGTCCCCTAAGCAAGGAGCAGCCCTTTCCTCCTTGCAGGTGCTGGAGGAGGGGTCGGGGTAGGGGCAGCCAATACAGAAAGTGGTTTGGCTGCTTTACCTGCCAAGTGCTGAGAGGAAGGAGGGAAAAGAATTTATCCAAGAGGGTGTTAAAAAGCAAACTGTGCTGACATCCTAGCCTAGGGTCACATCACCACCACCATTTCTTTGGGAATCAGCAGCCAGTTGAAACATGTGGTGGGTTCTAGACAGCTCTGTGCTTTGTTTTGGCAGAACAGGTGGAGAAAGAGGGACAGACCAGGGCAGGAATACGAGAGTGAATGAGCAAGGAATTGGATTTGAAACACTAAAAAAATCAACAGCAAGTGTAACTGTGTTGAAAATGCCACCTGTCGAGTTATGTCCAAGTTACTGGATTGTGTTTCTGTAAAGTCAGTGTTGAAATTACTCAGAAATTAACCAAGAAATAATTTCTTTATTTTAAATCTGATTTTAGCTTGCCCTTCTTCTTCAGTCGTAAGAGTTTAGCACCTCTCTCTGCTGCAGCACTAAAAGTACCAAAATGCCTTTTTTCAAAATGCAGACAGAGTTTTAACCTTTAGAGAAATACACTTCATCCTCTTTTTTTGTTCCCCTGCATTTCCTAAAAATCCAACATCCTATATTCACAGAAACTCAACTCTGAAATTTACTGCTGGTTCCACTATTTCTACTACAGTATTTTAAGTGACACTAAGAACTTTCAAATATAAGTTAATTTTTAAAATATCTTTGAAGGGAATTTCAGATCACCATGTGGTTTTATTCATTATTTTTCTTCTTCCCATGAAGGCCCAGGGTTTAAAACCAGGTGTTGCTGTTGTGTCTGAACTAACCAGCTCCAGAGTCACTGTGTGTGGTGCAGAAATGGGGACTATTAGTGGTCTGGGATGTGCACGAATCTTTTACAAAGGCATGTGGTCTCCTGTTCTCCAGGGATCAAGGTGGCCACAAAGCCACCCACTCATGGAATCATCTGGTGAGACTTTTAGCATGGGCTTGGTTTAGCCTGGGCTCACAAGCATCTGAAGGCCCAGCTCTGTGTTACAGTGTTGGGTGGAAAACCTTATGCCAAGAGGTTTGCAGAGGACAGGATACCAAAGCAACCAAGCCCCATTTTTTGTGTGTGCTCCTCAGCTTCCATCCAGGCTCCCCACAGGGAGTGACAGGCTGAGCTGCACAGGAGGGTTTTCTGCTGGGTTGCAGGTTCCTCTGGAGGACACTGCTGTGGCAGGTGGGTCAACCATTGCTGGACCCATGGTGATGTTTTCAGGGGACCCATCCCACCCTTGTGCCTTCATCCAAGTGCCCGGGGAAGGATATGGGTCCTTCTTCTGCAGGGGTGAAGGAGCAGGCTGTAGCTGTGGGGAATCTTTCCCTTGTGCTCTTTGACTCTTCTTCACTCTTTTGTTTTCTCTTCCTTGCTTCAAAGCAGGATTTTTACACTAAGACACCCTAAAACTTGCACTTCGTTCCCCTTCCTTCACGCTGGAATGAAATACCCAAATAAAGGCAACCCTGAAAATCTGTGCAATGCAAAAAACCTGAAAATGAGGTTTTTGGAGAGGACACATTGAGTTTCAAACAGCTCCATCCTTCCCCTTATCACACCAGTCCATCAAAACTCCTCTTTCCTGCACCTTCCTCCCAGACTAAGAGGATTTCAACAAAAAAACTCCACGTTGGGTTTTTTTTATGGTGGAGTAGAAGGCTCCATGGCCATGTTTGTCTGGATGCCCTCCAGACCTTGAGGGTGTCTGTGCTGGTATCTCATTTTCCAGCTGTAAGCATGATGGTAATAACTTTCCCATGCATGGTGGGTAACAAGGGGATATTTCAAAGAGGCCACTGTATCCAAAGGGGTGGCAGCAGAAGACCTGTCTGGTTGATTTTCTCTGCTTTTCCCTGGAGGGACTTAAGTTTTTATTAACTGGCAGATCCATCATCACAACCTGTATCTCCCTGTTCCCAGACAAGGGTGAAAACTGCCTGATCTGTATGTCACAAGCCTCAGCTCAGGCCTAAATTTGTATCAAAGCATTTCAGCTCCCAGAGGAAGATGGAAGGTGCTCTAAGGTCTCCCTGGAGCCTTCTCTTCTCAGCCTGGCTCCGGAGCAGAGCTGCTCCAGCCCTCCCAGCATCTCCATGGCCTCCTCTGGACTTGCTCCAACAGCTCCCATGTTGTTGTGTTCGGGACCCCAGAGCTGGACCCAGCCCTGCAGGGGGGTCTCCCCAGAGCAGAGCAGAGGGGACAATCCCCTCCCTGGCCCTGCTGGTCACACTGCTGGGGATGCAGCCCAGGACACGGGTGGGTTCTGGGCTCCAACACATGGTGCTGGGTTATGTTGAGCTTTTCATCACCCATCACCCCCAAGCCCTTCTCCTCAGGTCTGTTACTGATCCATTCTCCACCCAACTTGCATTTGTGCCTGGGGTTGCCCCAGCTCATGTGCAGGACCTTGCACCTGGCCTTGTTGAACTTCATGCAGTTTGCAAGAGCCCACCTCTGCAGCCTGTCCAGGTCCCTTTGGATGGATCCCTGCCCTCCAGTGTGTCAGGCGCACCACACAGCTTGGAGCCATCAGCAAACCTGCTGAGGGGGTATTTTGTGCAGTTTGCAGGAATTCAGTCTGTAGGAATTTGGCTCATTTCTGAAAAGCTCTGGGAAAAGGAGACAGGCATCCAGCTCCTCAGCTCACATCAGGTCACAAACCACACGTCTCCAAGGATCTGGGCCATATTTTTGTGCAAGCAGATGAAAATCAATTAAAAGTTTATTTCAGCTTGGGTTAGTTTGTGTTTGTGTTTTTATTATTTTTAAAAGGCAGCTGCAGCTGGGAGGTGCTGCCCAGCTGAGGCTACATGGTGGGTTTCCATAGCACTGACCTGTGAAACATCCCTGCAGCCAAGGCCACTGGGGCAAGACGTGGTCTCCTGGAGATCTTGGTGCCCTCCACCACAGTTGTATTTGGCTCTTCTAGAAGGAAGGTGTGGCTGGGAAGGAAGGTGTGGGCTGTGGCTGCTCCCAGCAGGACCAGTGTCACAGCTCCAGCAGGTGTCATGGGACCATGGTGGGACATCCCCATCCTCCACTGTGACTGCGCCCTCCTCTTGATGGAGGGACACCATCCTGCTGGCACAGCTCCAGCTTGAAAGCAGATGGGTTCCTCTTGGAAACGATGCAAAGAGGAACCTGACCTCATGCTGCCCCATGGTGCCACTGGTGTCAGGGTCAGCTCTCCCCCCGCCTCAGCTGCAGATGGAGCCCTGGCCTCAGGGGAATTTGGGAGCTCCTGGGCACCTGTGGCTCTTGCTTGGCTGCCCCGTGCTGGGAAATCCAACATAAGCATCTCCAAGTGGCTGGTGATGTTCTGTGAGGAGGCTGGGGCTGGGGCAGGGAGGCTGGGTGCTCCAGGGGGCAGAGGGCACCCTCTGAAGGACCCAGTCAGCACCTTGAGCTGTAGCACAGGGATTTCCCAGGGGTCAGAGCTGGTTTTGCCTCTAATCCAGGCTCTGGCTTGGATATGCCATCCATAAGCTGCTTTGTGCTGCAGAGCTGAAGCCCTGGAATCCCCAATCCGTCTGCTGCTCCTCCTGTCCTCCCCCTCCTCACTATTACCCTCCTCAGGATTTTAATTTTC